GGGCTGATGGGGGAGTTGGAGAATGTCTGGAGGCTGCTGCCAATGACGATGTTCGACTCAAATGTCAGTTTATCGTTTCCCATTTCTGCGTCAGAGAGTCAAGCTGAAGTGTCAGACGTGAGCAGCTGATGAAAGATTAGTTCAATCCTCTGAAAGAAATCAGCGTCTCAGCTCCGTGACCTCGCTGATACTCAAGTGTGGCCCGCCGGACTCGTCTTTCTCTTCTAGACTGGGTGTTTGACGGGATTTTTGGGAATCTAGCTCCTTTTTTCGATGGTGTAAATGTAATATTTGGTGCCTTAAACTAAGTGTACCCTGGGGTTTAATGGTCTAACTGGAGAATTTAAAGGGCTAAACTGGTTTTAGGTAGTCAGACACTGTATCTGATGGTCTACATGAGGTATTGGACGGCCTAGACTGGTGGTATCATGGTTGAAACTCCATGTTTATTGCTTTTGGTAGTCTAACTCTGTTTTTATAGTCTAAGCTGAGCATCGGATGGCCCAGACTGGTCGTATGTTGTTTGCTGACAATCTAAACTAGATGTTTGGTGCCCTAACAGATTTTTTAACAGCCTGAATTGAATGTACGGTGGCATTTTGATGGCCTAACGTTGGCTTTTGTTGGTCTAAACTGGGTTTTTGGTCGTCTAGGTCTGTTTGTGATGGTTTAAACAGAGCATTTAATGTTTGACATGTATGTTCAGTAGTGTTTGATAGTATAAGCTAAGTTTTATTAGTCCAGATTGGATAAAAGTTGGATTTTGGTGGCCTAAAGTGAATACCTGACGGCCTCAGCCAGACATTTAATGAATTGATTGTTGACAGTCAAAGCTTGATGTGAGATGGTTGAAACTGGATGTACATTGGTGTCTGATAGTCTAAACAGAGCATTTGATGGCGTAAACGGACTATTTGCTGGTTGATACTGACTCTGCGATGGTATCTGATGGTCTGACCTGGGTTTTTGGTAGACTGACTCGGTACTGGGCGCTCTAGACTGGTTGCATGGTGGTATTTGTTGTCTTGACAGAGTTTGAGGTCCTCTAACTCTGTTTTCAGTGGTTTAAACTGGATTTAACGCAAGGTTTTGATGGAATACAGCGAGTATTTCATGGTGTAAGACTTTGGTTGAACCGGAGTCTCGTGCTTCGTCCAGAGCTTTGAGTGTTTCAGCTGAGCTTTTTCTTAACGTTTGAAAACAAGCCTGAACCAAACGTTTGGTCAGAACATGTGACCTTCAGATGCACCTGAGGCTCCACCTTCCAGGGATGTAGCTTTAGAGGACACGAGCTTCAGCTGTGTGCTCGCTCTCTCTCCTCCCTCACCGCCTGCTGGCCCAGAAATCAGCTTTTATGAGTTGTTGAGACATGAGTTTGTAAAGATCAGTCTTGTGTAAATGGAGGGGGATTACAGGGAGGTGATGAGCTGTGAGCTGAAGACTTGCAGAGGTCGGACGGACTCCAGGAAACACACTTGTTGTCTCAGAGTGTAAATGAGCTGCTGGAACTTGTTGTTTCTCACCTGCTCTGTCGCTCCACCTGACAGGAGTTACCCAGCCTGGTGGTTCCACTGGTCTCACTTCAGCCCTGTGCTGCTCTCATGTCCTGTTTTGGCCTCGCTGCGTTCGCTGCACTGGACGGGAACGTCAGCGCTGCAGCACACAGTCGCTGCTCTCTGCTGTTTCGGGTCCGTTCGCTGTTTTCTGGTGGTGACGGTGCCTGCAGAGGCTCCACGCAGCACCGGACCGGCACATCGCTCACATTCCTTCGGTTGATAGCAGCAGCGCTTAAGCTGTGATTCAGGATTCCTCGGCGATGGACGGCCACGTGAGGCGTTCGAGGCCTTGGAATCGGAGCTCAGGGTCAAACTCAAACCGCCAGAGGCCTTTAACTCGGCTTCAGATTTTCTGTGTCAGTGAATTTTTTCATTTTCCAGTGAAGAATACAGATGGAGCCTCTAAAGTCAGGCTTTGGTCATCTAACTTTGTTCTTTTTGAAGCTATAAACTGAGCGTTTGGTGTAAAACTGTTCTCTTTTTTTTGCCATCTCACTGTTTTTGATGGTTTAAATGTTGTACTTGATGTTTGGGTGGTTCATGGTATTAACTGGTCTGAGCTGAGCATTGCATGGTGTACGCTGAGGTTTGGGCATTCTAGCTCCATCTGTGATGATCTAATCATATAAACTGGATTTATAATGTATGTAATGGTGTGTTTTGGGTTCTAAATTGTGTTTGGTTGTGTGAGCTGAGTATTCGACTGTTGAAATGGGATGTATAGTTGGATTTATTGGTATAAACAAAGTCTTTGATGGTATAAACTGGATTTATGATGGTACTTGGTCTAAATTCAGTTTTTGATCGCCTAAACATCGTATCTGATGATTGAAACTGGACGTATGGTGACATTTAATGGTCTAAAACCAAATATGTGCTTTTGGGGATCTACCTTAACTTGTAAACCTAATATTAGATGGTTGGAACTGGATATGTCATGGTATTTAGGGTCTAAACAGTTTGCTTTGCAGACAGTTGATGGGCTGCATGGGGGAATTTATTAGCCTCAACTGATTATTTGATGGTTTAAACTGGATTTTTATGGTATTTAATGGTATAAACTGAGGATTTTGTGGCCTGACTTAGTGTTTGAGGGCCTAAATCATTGAAAGTGGACGTACAGTGATATCTACTGGTCTAAACTCAGGATTCAGTGGCATACAGTAGCACTGGATGGCCTGAACCGGGGGTCTGGGAGTCTACCTCTGATGGTTGAAACTGGAAACGTAATCGTAACTAAACTAAATATTTGATGATTAAAGGAGACGTGTTGTGGTGTTCGGTGGTCTAACTCTGTCTGTGACGACCTCCAGTGAGCATCTGATGACTGAAGCTGGATGTGTCGCGGTGTTTACTGATCATCTGGACTTTGGATGAGCGTGCTGTTAAATGTTGTCCACGTCCAGCCAACACGTCGTCTGACTGAGTCGCTTGTTGGCTCCGGTTGACTCAAGCGGCGGCAGAACGCCGAGGTCCTGATTCGTCAGCCGGACTCATGGAGCAGCGCCGGTGAGGGAACACTCGGCGGCTTCCTGGTAACTGGACGGTTTTTGAAAGCTGCCGTGATTCAGCAGACGGAGTTAATGGCAGCCCTGGTTGTGAAGGCGAGGCTGTAAATCACACGTCTGTCGCTGCAGCAGTAATAAGCAGCTCCGCTCTGGACGTCCTGCCGCTGGTCGAAGCCTCCGGCCGGGCCGAGGCTTCCGGCCGGGCCGAGGCTTCCGGTCGGGCCGAGGCTTCCGGCCGGGCCGAGGCCTCCGGCCGGGCCGAGGCTCCACGCTGTCAAAAAACATTAAACTCTGATTTCCTGAACAAGCTGTTGTTATTTCACAGGATTCATTATATCACAGAAAACAAGCAGCAAAAAAACATTTAAATGAGGAGTTCAGGGTTTGTGCTTATTCGTGACCATAAAATGTCACCGTTTAACCGTTTAAAGTCGTTATTTTACAGACATTCGTGGTTATTTGGGAGAAGAAAAGGACGTAAAAGTGTTAAATCACTGAGACAGTTGTTTTAGTAAAACTCATGAAGTCACGTGTTGACGGTTAAAACGAAGCCTCAGACTTTAATGTTCTGACGTTATTGACACAGTTTAAAGGACAGTATGTTCTATATGATAGAAAAATGATGTACACTGAGAATTAAAATGGTTAAAACACGTTTTATTCAATTACAGTTAAGACCGATTAAACATTATTAAAACTGTAAAACAAATAATTTCCCCTTTTGTTCTTTCACAACATGTGGCCGTGAAACGACAATAATTTTACTGCACAAACAAAGAAAGTCATTGTTTCGCAGGTATTTGTCGTTATTTGGAAGCGCCGCTGCAGAACGTCGGCGTGTTGTTAGCTCACAGATCGTGTTTGATTAAATCACGACGAAGCACCGACGTTGACCTTTAAGCTAAATCCTGTCCACGTCAAACACGTGTTCTTCAGACGACACGTCACGACCGTTCTGTGATTTAAAACAACTAAGAACAACCAGTTAAAGCCGACGCCGTTGTTTTACAGTGAAGTCCGGCGCTTTGCTTCAGCGAGCTGCCAAACGGACAGATTGGTCCTTTAAACCGTCGCCGTGCTAAAACAAAGGCTCTCCTTCTTGTTCCTGAAGCTCCGGCGCTATTCTGAGAAACGATGAATGAACAGGGCTTTTATTTTTCAATCCTCCTGAAGTGACGATGATGTAAGTGAGATAATCGCCTCCGAATCGTCGCTTAAACGGCGTTAATGGACTCGCCGAGGCTCCAACGCCTCCGCAGACGCACCAGCCGCCCATTCAGCAGCGCCGGCATTCAGAAACACGCAAATCGTGACTTTGATTAGTGTCCGGACGCCCACCAGCGACAGACAGCGGGACGAAAGGTGACTTATGTAACCTGCTGATGCTCTGGACCTTCGAGGAAACGCCGAGTGCAGCTCTGGAAGCCCGTCTCATTCAGACGCAGCAGAATCAGCTCCTGATGCGTCCGTGGGTCAACCGGCGCCGTGAAGCATCACAGATATCAGCTAAAGTCACAAACTCTGAAAAATACTGTCGATGTTTAAACCATCAAGCAGCGTCTGTGTTTTACTGACAGACGTCCTGCTCAGTCAGAACCGAGCCGCTCCAGAATTTGTCCAGGACAACCTCAGGAATGTCTGCAGGATGCAAACCCGAGACAAAGAGACCAAAAAACGACCAAACTCCTGATGAAATGTGATTTAAGCCTCAAACCAACGTCTGCAGAACGTTTGTGACGTCAGACGCTCAGTCGGAGGTTTGTGTCGTTCAGCTGGTCGCAGCTTCTAGATGTCCTCTGGTTCCTTCACACGGACAACTGAAGGTCTGACGTCTGAGGAAACTGACTAGCTAGGTTCTGATGTGTTCTGATGTTCTGATGACGTTCTGATGATGTTCTGATGACGTTCTTCTAACCCTCGTGTCTCTGTCCCCCAGGTGAGGTTCCGGGCGTCGTGAACTTCGTCCTGTCTAAAGATGGCGGCGACCTGTCTCTGGTGGAGCAGGCTAACGTCTGGCTCTTCCTCCGTCTGGCCAAGTCCAACCGCAGCCGGGCCAAAGTCACCATCCGGCTGTTCCAGCAGCGCCGCCTCTCCGCCGGCCGCCCGCCGCAGGACGACGTCCCGCTGGCCGAGAAGACGGTGGACACCCGACGCAGCGGCTGGCACTCCTTCGCCGTGTCGGCGGCGGTGCAGGCGCTGCTGGAGGGCGGCGGCTCCACGCTGAGCCTGCGGGTGTCCTGCGACCTCTGCGCCGACACCGGGGCCACGCTGGTTCTGGTGTCGGGCGGCTCGGACGCGTCGCAGCGCAGCAGCCAGCGGGAGCAGTCCCACCGGCCCTTCCTCATGGCCGTGGTGCGGCAGGGCGACGGCGCCGACTCGCGGCGGCGCAGGAAGCGAGGCCTGGAGTGCGACGGGAAGGTCCGGGTCTGCTGCAAGCGGCAGTTCTACGTCAACTTCAAGGACATCGGCTGGAACGACTGGATCATCGCGCCGCCCGGTTACCACGCCAACTACTGCGAGGGCGAGTGCCCCTCCCACGTGGCGAGCATCACCGGCTCCACGCTGTCCTTCCACTCCACCGTCATCAGCCACTACCGCATGAGGGGCTACAGCCCCTTCCAGAACCTGCGGTCCTGCTGCGTGCCGACCCGGCTACGGGCCATGTCCATGCTGTACTACAACGAGGAGCAGAAGATCATCAAGAAGGACATCCAGAACATGATCGTGGAGGAGTGCGGCTGCTCGTAAGCCGGCCGCGGACTCGGCGGCGGAGGGGAACCGGAGACGCTCCGACCGGAGACGCTCCGACCGGCGCCGCCCTCCGACCCGCTCCGGGTTGCTCTCTGGGACAAAAACTCGACTCCAGCAGAACTCAGAGAGTTCGAAGGCACTTTCTGAAAACACATGAAAAGAAAAAGAGAAAAAAAAGAATATCTAATATATTTTTGTTACAAACGGAGGGAGCGAGTCGTATTTATGTGGCTGAGACGTTCAGCACCGCCGAGCATCGGACCAGGTGCCTGAAGAACCACGAACACGGATCTCAAACTATGCAACTTGTTTCACGTATTACCGTCTTATTGGACTTCATGTTTGTTTCCCAACTGTTTACTTTTTCAAAATGTTCGAGGAAGAAAGATTCTGTGTGTGTGTGTGTGTGTGTGTGTGTGTGTGTGTGTGTGTGTGTGTGTGTGTGTGGAGAGATACTTGAAAGAAACAAGTTGGCGGCTGCTGGAACCAAACACTTCTTTACGTTACCATGGTTACCATGTTGATAATTATTATTGTCAGTAAGTATATTAATATTATTGTTGTTAATTATATTTTGTGTTGTTTTGTTTTTTTTAAGAAACGTTACAAACGTTGTCATGTTTTGCACTATAGCGACACTCGTGTTCAGACCGGCTGCAGGTGAGACACACCTGGACGAGCTCACACGCTAAACCACCTTCTGGCCAAAAGTCTGTGGACACGGCGGCTGATTGGCCGAGGCGGCTGATTGGCCGAGGCGGCTGATTGGCCGAGGCGGCTGATTGGCCGAGGCGGCTGATTGGCCGAGGCGGCTGATTCGGGAAACGCTGAAGTAAAGAACAGACGAATTCTGTTGGTCACAAAGAAAAACCAGATCCAGGTGTTAAAAAGCGTTTTTCTCTGTTTCTGCCGCAGACGTCTGATAAACGAATTAAAATAGTTTTGTTTATGCTCCCAGGGCACAGGGAACGTTCTTGGACTGTGGCCCTGCCTAAAAAATACAAACCTCTACATGAAAAACAGGAAAATATGCCCCCAGCTGCCACTAGAGTCAAGCATCAGTTAGTCTGGTGAAGAGTCGGAGGGTTGTGCCGCTAGCGTTAGCACACATGCTACACACAGGACTCTGCTCTAGCATCGCGTCCGACGCTACGTCTGAGGAACAAGAAGCACCTGGAGACGGAAAGCGTGGCACGTTTTCTGGATTTGACGGCTCGAGTGAGAAGTTAAAATGAGAAGGAGTTGCTGCCTTCGTTTCACACAGGAAGGTTCGTCTGCCTCCATCTGAGTCGGAGCTGAGCCCTTAGTTCAACCCCCGAACCCAAAACCTGCCTCAAAAAACATCACCAGCCAGAAACTGTAAAAAAAAAAAAAAAAAAGACACAAATCGTCTCGTTCACATATTTTATAAAAACGAACCGTTGGCAGTTATTGGACAGTCACTCCTCGATGCGTCCGTGGAGCTCTGGCCGACGGTCACCTGGCAGAACACCTGTTTTCAGGTGGAGCTGCAGGAGTTCGTTCTGTTTCCATCCAAGGAAACGTGACAGGAGCCACAAAATGATTAAAACAGCAGAAGTGGAAGAAGGCTGCCTGCTCTTGGTCTGACTGTCGGTCAGAGCCGAGGCGTCGCCGCTTCACTTTTTTACAGAATTTTTTAGTTTTTCACAGAATCAGCTTTATTTTGGATGAATTTTTAAATTTAAAGCGATGAGACGTTGAGCTGAGATGTGAATGATTCAGCTGAAGACACAGAGTGACTCAAGTCTTTCTGGTTTTACAGTTTCTGGCTGATAAACGTCGTTCTGGACATTTATTGGTTGCAAACCTGCTGGCGTCTGTTTGGAGTCAGATTGTTGAAGAACTTTTATTTTTATTTTGGAGAAAAAAAGTTAAACAGCAAAATTCAAATCAAACCTAATCTGATGGACAAAAAGCTTTTCACGCTCAGCGTTTTCCCTCAAAGCAAAAAGCTTCGATGCAGCTGCAACAAACGGTTCAGCTAGTCGGAGGGAAGTCAAGCAGCTGTGATGCGCTTTTAGTAAAAGTGGTTTTTCCACAATAACACCTCTTGGAGGCTCGATTCGGCGCCGTTTGATCCCCTCTGGTTCGCTTTAGGACACCAAAGAGTCGCTTCAGTGAACCCGAAAAGAAGGAAACACGAATTCACTTCCTCCAACCGGAGTCGTGTAAAAAAACCTCCGAGCTTCTGTTTCAGAGTCATTTAGCTTCTCCGTCACTCTTCTCTCTCTGCGCGACTCCGTTTCCCACGATGCTTTGCTCCTTAGCCGCGAGAGGAAAACACGACCCGCAGCCGCTCGGTTTCGTTTCTGGTAGAGAACGAGCGTCCGGTTCCGGTTCCGGTTCCGGTTCCGGTTCCGTCGTCGTCGTGTCCACGTCAGTGTTGTCGGTTTGTTCACCAAAAGTTGTGGCCGATCGGTCGGCGTTTTAGATGAAGTCACACGTTTTTATTTGTGCGTTTGGGTTGTTCATGTTTTCGGGGAGGGCGGAGCCTCTCCTGGACTGTGTACAAACAACATGAAAAAAAAAGCCTCAAAAAGTTGGAAGAAAAAAAAAAAAAAGGACTAAAAGAAGTCGTATTTGTTCCGGTTTTGTTCTTTTTGTCAAGACGAAAAAATACTGACACTGAACGAAGTGGACAAAGAATAAAAAGTCTATTTTTTATTCTGTATATATGGAAACCAAGACTCCAGTTTGTTGCATTGCTTTGTTGTACAAATCCAATGTGCTTGTGGCATTTTTCTAATCTAATTTATTTTACGGTATTTTTTGGTTTTTGTTTTCTGCTTCACCATTAAAGTTTAAAGGATGTACACAAAGAAAGACGTCTCGCTGGTCCTTGTCCTGCTCAGCTCCCATCACCAGGGCGTTGCCCTGATCTGCCTGAAAGGCTCACACCATCACACGCAGACGTTCATGAAGACATCTGACAAGTTCTAGCTTCAAACATCAAATGCTTTCTGAGATACAATCCGTTCTACTTGGATCAGACTTTATAGAGATGTTGTAGGTTTTTCTCGAAGGTTAGTTGTTCCACCTCTCGTCCAAGAGGCTTCATCTGGTCTGACCTGAACTGGTCCTGGTTGGGAGATCCAGATACTGATACCCTGAAGGAGCCATTAACACCTGAGGCTCCTTAAGGATAGAAGAATCTGGATCTCCCAACCAGTCAGTCAGAGCTGATGGAGCCTCTTGGATGAGAGGTGGAACGTCTTCAAGGAACTCAAGCAGGTCCAGTTGATTAAACTACGAGAAGAACCAGGACCTGGAGAACTGACTGAGGATCTTCTTGTAGGTTTTACAACTTGTCAAGATTCAAGATACTTTATCGTCGTTATACACGTACATACATTATACATTATACGCGTGTACAACGACATTCAGGAGCCCGGTCAGGACTCATAGGAACGAGAGAATAGACAGAATAACAGTTAAACCATGTCCGTCACTCTGATCAGCACCAGGTGTACCCGGGCCGATACGACAGGACCGCCACATGTTCAGCCCTCCACCGTCAGCGTGGTCAAACCTGCTCAGTCACTGAAGTCCAACAAACATGACCGAGTGCTTCTTATTAAAGTATCTACACACAGCTGGAACCAGACCAGTCGCACAGAGTCAGACAATTCTCTGAAACGTTGTGTCTGTCAGAGACGTCCTGGTGGTCGTCCTGACTGACCTCAAACAGTCTGATTTCATGTCAGATGGTGAGAAACAAGAAGGTTTCGTGTCTTTTTGTACGGTGGATGTACACGTCCGGTTCCAGCTGTAGACATATTTGATGACACGTGACAAAACATCCGGTTAACCTATGAAATGTTGTACAACCTCCCAGCCGGCAGGTCCATGTGGGCCCCAGCAGGCTGACATCTGGGCTGCATGTAAGGGTCCCAAATGGGTCTGGTTCCACATGTGTTTGTCCATATGGGCTCTAAGTGGGTTCTCACTGGGATTCAGGTGGGCGAGCTACATGAGACCCATACAGGCCCCACGTACACCTGAAGGTGATTCCATCTTTATGATCCTCCTGCTTAGCGACACATCACAGGACAACATCTTCACTGAAGTCCGTTCTGGTAGGAACCCTGAACAAACCTCCGCTTCAATGCCGACAGGCAGCAGAACTCAAACAACAAAAGAATAGTTTTTCTGAAACTACAACAATGGACTGATCTGTTTTTGTAAACAAACTCTTCATATGATGATATTTTTGCTCCAGACGAGGCTCGACTCATTAATTAAAGCTCCTCGTTAACGCTGCAGTGGTTTCAGGTCTTCTCCGTGGACATGACGTGATGCAGCTCCTCCTCCGGCATCACGTCAGCCGACCACGCTGGCAGGAAACACCCTGCTGCGGTCGGCTGCAGCGACGCTGGCGCTGCTGTTCTTGCGAGGACTCTGCAGCTTTAATCTTCCCTTGAAGCCAAATCTGGAGACGTGGTTGTTCTCGCAGAGGGCCGCTGATGTTTTGATGTGTCACTCTGCTGCCCTCCTGTCATTAAGATCTATTTATGCTGCAGACACGGACCTGACAGCGAGTCTGTCCTCTGAAGTCTAGTCGTTCATTAGAAGTCTTTGCTGTGATCCGGTGCTATGAGCCGTCCTGGTTTACTGCGCCGTGATATTGTTCCACAGCAGACTGACTTTACTGTGACGAACTCCGGTGAGACATTTCTGACCACGTCCAGCTCCACGGCACCATGATGGTTTTACTGCACGCTGTACGACGGCGTTTCCTGATTTACCACACCGGGATCTTTGCCTGTGACACATGCTGCCGCCGTCTTTCTTACGCGATGACATGTTACGACAGCGTAACGTACGACAACAGAAGGACGACTCGACAGTTTTACACGTCTACAGCGTCAACAGAAGTTTCCCTCCACTTGTGAGGAACGTCTACATCGACTCCTTTAACTCTGAATTTCTCTGATGGAATCATTGAAACGTGAATCTTTGTCGTAATAAAACAATCGTGTGTTTTGGTTCTTTTATAGGTTTATTAAAGGTTTTCTGGAAACATGACCAAATCTGCTGAGTCATAAATATACAAACGGCTTGATGGTGATGGAGGAAGTCGTGTTGATCACATGTTCTCAGCTTCATGGCCTCTAAACTTCTCCTGAGTGGTTCTGATCCACTCCAGCTGCTGACTCCTCTGATCCGATTCAAACAGAACCAGTTGATTTGAGATCTGGAAAAACAAGTCAGTGACTAGAACCAGTCAGTAAGTCACCTGGAGCCATTTCAGAGCAGCTTCAGATCCAGAACCATTAGTGTGTCAGCATAAAGCTCATGGTCCAGTTGTGTTACTGCCACCATCAGGAAGGAAACACAAACTAGCAGCTGCTGCTGAGAGACGACTGGTCAGGATGGTCAAGAGTCAACCAGGAAGCAGCAGGAAGCAGCTCTGGATGGACCAGAAGCTGCTGGAACACAGCTGTCAGTGTCCACAGGGTCTGACATCAACATGAGCTGAGAGGCTGATGGAGAAGGAAGTCCTTCCTCTAGAAGCAGAACCTTAAAGCTCCACTGATCACATGGACAAAGAAAAGGCCTTCTGGAGGAAAGTTCTGGTCAGATGGAACCAACACTGAGCAGAACCATGTCTGGAGGAGAGAAGGTGAG